GGAGGGGGAGGAGGAGGAGGAGGGGGAGGAGGAGGCTGGGCGACCGTCGCGGAGGGTCCACTCGGGAGGAGGTCGGGCGCGGCAGCACTGCGAAGCATCGACCCTGGCGGAGCAGAGCCCCGGGGGCCCAGATGGCGACGCGCGCGGGACCAAATCTGAGCCAACTTGGCGCGGTGACGCTTGAAGCCCAGGTGGCCGCCAGTGATGAAGTTCCCGCAGACTCGCACTAGCAGTTTGCATGGATCCACCTCTTGTCTTTCTCCTACGTGTCCCAGACGACCTGGATGGCCCAAGAGGCCCAGACTCCGAACCGAAGAGAGACCTCGCAGTAGCCGCCAGGGAAGGCCGCGCGCGCCAGGCGCACGGTGGCCGCGCTGCGAGAGAGCTGCCGCTGCATCCGGTCGATGTGGGGAAGCCACAAGGTACCGATACCGCTGCTCCATGGACCTCTCGTGGGGCGCGTTCTGACCAGGATTCCGAGGCGAGTCCAGCGGTGGCGACGAGGGCCTCCCAGGAGGCCCGAAAAAGGAGGACACGCGGAAAGGGTAGAGGTCATGGGTGCCTTTTCCTCCTCTGGCGATGGGGACAGACGTCATGGCAACCCTCTACGGGGTTGCAGATGCCGCCCAGCGGCGGCGGCGCGGCTGCCCGGAGGCGGCGGTGCCGATGGGCGCGCGCCCCCTCCGGGCCGGCGGGGGTCCCCAGGCGCACGCCGCGCGGTCCGGCGGGGGGCCCCGAGCCTGGGCCGGAGCCTGTGAGCGGGGGGAACCCCATAGGCTTGAGCCAAAATGGCTACGGACACACACACGCACACGCACGCACGCACGCACGCACGCACGCACGCACGCACGCACGCACACACACACACACACACACACACACACACACACACACACGCACGCACGCACGCACGCACGCACGCACGCACACACGCACGCGCACGCACACACGCACGCACACACACACACACACACACACACACACCCTTCCTTGAACGCGCCAGTGAATCCGACAAGCGGGAGACGATGGACCACCCTCAGAGCGAGTTGGCTTCTTTGTGGAGCGACGCGGCAAGCATGGAACACCTGGAAATCGCGCAGAGACGGCATCAGAGCAGAAAAGCCTGACGGTGCAGGAATATGGAAGGCACGAGTGGAAGGCGAACCGCCAACACTACAGACACACACGCACTCACACTCATTCATTCACTCTCTCACTCACTTACTGACGCCACCACTAACAGCCCCCGGCTTCTTGCTCAATCACATTCCCCCTTCTGAAGCAAGGCTTCGAATTACTCTTGGGATGCATGGGCAAATCTTCATACTCCCCCCCGAATGCCATTCAGGGTGAAGTCCAAAGCCCACCTCCTTGAGCCAGGCGACAGAAGTAAAGCACAAGTCACCTTGCCAGGATGTTCGCAAGTCGGCAACAGCGAAGATGGTATAGCCGTGCTGCACATATATATATATATATAAATATACATATATGACAAAGGCACACAAAGCATGAGAACAACTGCAAGAATTTCATTCCACCACGGGAAGGTTCAATCCCTAATTCACGTGTCAACCCTGTGTGCTTCAATCGCCCACCTTCCCTGACATTCCCTGCACAACGAATGACGCAAAAGCCCACTTGGTGCCTCCACTGGGGGAAGATGATCCCAGATTCTGGTGCTGGCGGACATGATCGGCCACCCAAGAAGCCAGAATCTGGACACCAGCACCGAGCTCGAGACCGTCTTCCCTCGGTGGAGGCACACCGCCGATACTGGTGTTGGTGTCAACCCCTGGGCCTCTGACGCACGTGCCACGCTCCGTGCAGCACCGCGCCCGAGCTCTAGCATGCGACGGGCGTGCCGTGCGGTGCCCCGCGCCAGCCATGCGAGGGGGCGTGCCGTGCCGTGCCCGCGCCCGCGTGCCGTGGCGCGCCGTGCCTACGACTTTCAAGGGTGCGGAAAAAGCATGCCGTGGCGTGTCGTGGCCCGTCTCCGTGAGGCGCTGACCGCCCACGCCAGGCACGCCCCACGTTGTGCTCTTTCACCACCTGTGCTCCCATACGGCGCTGACGTTCAGGGTCTCTCTGCACGGTGTTAATCTCCATGCACGGTGTATATCTCTAAATCGGCGGTGGGCAAACATCCCTCTAGTGAAGCACCCTTTAGTGAAAACGGTCTGGGACCGAAACCGACGGACCTGGACCCCCAAAAACCGACGGCCGCGATGCCCTCTCGCAAACCCAAAACGGCCGATTCGCTAATCGACACGTCAGGGTTGGAGGTCTATCAACCTCCGATTCGTGAGCCACTGACCACCCACGCCAGACACGCCCCACTTTGTGCTGACTCTTCACGTGTGCTCTCGTACGGCGTCTACGTTTGGGGTCTCTTTGCACGGTGTAATATCTAAAGACGGGCCCTACACTTCAATCATTCCGAAACGAATAGCTTTCATACTGTTCACGCTGAAAAGCCGCTACGGATTTCGACTACCCGTGC